TAAGATGAGAAAATTATCACTTCACTGCTGCATCTGAGAGAGCAAAGTGAAACAAGCCACTGTTGTTGTATATGTTTAATCAATTTGCAGGTCACTGTGAGTTAAAATCCAGCAGCACTTACATATTAAGCATTGGATTTTGCTTACATATACAGCAATGTTTAGCAGAAAAACATCAGAAAAATCCAGCTATTAGGCAATGGCAGTGCCACCAGGGAACAGAATCCTCTCCTGGTGGTAGCAAAAGCAATTTTCTAAATGGCTTATTTGTAGGTTAATCTTATATCTAGCCTTACTGTTTCTGTTCAAAGCAAAGGAAACATTGTATCTAAATCAGTGCACCCAAGGAGCAGTGCACATAACCTTTCATATTTGTGTGATGCAATATAATATAAGTGTCAGAGTTTCTCTAAGAAACTGTAACTCAATTCTCAAAACAAACATGTTACCTTGCCTGCAGATTATTATGATTTCATGTAACTGTTTAATGGCTAAGCAGTGCTGGATCAAGATGTCTCAACAGTGTGACAGTTCACTCCAAACCCTCTCCCAAGTGTTGACTGTAGTAGCACAATGAGTAGGGAAATACACCAGTGCTGCGGATTAAAACCCTGGGCTTCCTTTTTTCTTTTTCTTTTTTAAATGAATGTAAGTTTGTTTAAAAAAAAAAAAAGAAAAAGCTCCAGTGTGTATGCAATAACAAGTATTATTGTACACTTGACTTCATGTATGTTGTGAGAGAATAACTGAATGAACTCTCAGTGTTCTCATTAAGCATTTGTAACATCTCAATCCTAGACCAGCCATACCACAAAAACATTGCCTTGCCATTAGTGCTAGCAACTGCCACTGCATGGCTCGTCGTTGAGTAAATTGATGCAAGAGAGACACACATGCTTACGATCTCCCTCACACATGCAGACTAAAAATAGCAGCTGCCTTACCTTTCTGTACACTATCATGTTGGGGGACTCATCTGCTACCCCATTGGTCCCCTGCCCACTGCTGTTGGTCTGTGCCATGATCCAGCTAGTAAATCTGCCAGAGGAAATGTCAGGTGCTCCTGTTGTGGACAGAATGGATATTTTGGCACGTCAGAAGAACAACGAAGCCTAAACGTGACTTTGCCAAAAGAGAGCAATTTACACGCCTGTGGTCTGCATCATGTTTCAGTGTATTTGATACTTCAAAAGGGAACAGATGTTCATTGCTCCAGTTTGGCTACGTGTTTTGACATTTCACAAGGTCTTGACAAGGACATTTTTAAGAAAAAGGCGGTTGCTTTAACACAAAGTGTGGCTACTGGTACAGTACACATTCCTACTGAATGGGACAAAAGTTCAACTTGAAAAGCAATGATAGGTAAATGGAAGGACTAGCCTACTGTCACTCTTGCCTCAGATGGATTCGCTGTGCAGCACAGTCTAAAACGGCAATCACCTTTGACCGTTTGTTTACATCGGAGAGTTCTCTCACGCCCTACATGGCACATACTACGGATGCATCCTAAGGTTGCAATAGCAAGATAAGGTGAATTATAGACCTTGGCAGTGGTAAATGCAGTAAAACAACACACGGTCACTGGAGGAGGCAGTCTACTCTACAATGCAGCCTGGATACGTGCATTCGGATGTAGTAGCCATAGTCAAAATGTGCAAGACTGTGCAAATGTAATGGATATGGTATGCACATTACAGCTTCATCATTCTTTCTTCCCTTTACGACACCCACACGACATCCTTGGGAGGTTTAGACTGCAACACGAACAGCGAAGTCATGTAACACGCTCTTAACATGAAGCCGTTGGCTTTACTATATCGGGCTTTTCTTACCACAAGCCACTGTCCGTTTAAGCACCTTGGACAGCTACTGCTAAACGCCCGCGTCCCTTATCTTCTTGGACGCCGCTTAAATACACAGAAAACACAGCGACGTCGGTCACGGGAGGAGAAGGGGGGCGCTTACCTGAAAAAACACGCAGCCCGCTGTAGGACTCCTGAATCCTTGCAGGGATGGAAGCCTTGTCCTTTGCTTTCAGTATGTCAACTGGCAGACATAGGAATGCGAGGGGTATTCATTGGCAACGTGAGGAGGCAGACATTCGGCGGACACTTGGTGTGGTACAGCTCTCTGTCTCAGTCTCTCATCTCCTCTTTTCCAAGCGGTGCTCAGAATCACGGGCGCGCCACCCCGGAGCGTCGAGAGCGCGCATCGATCTATGACCAATCGCGTGTGAGGAATAAATTACAACCCGTTTTGGAGACATACAGCTATTATTTTTTCAAGCTAAGATTGTACTGCTATGCACTGCAGCGAAATCCAGGACAAGGCATCTTAAACCGATAGCTTATTAGTATTGATACAACTGCAATCTATAGCAAAGGTCATGAGAGGACACTACAATTTTCTGTGCCATAAGAAGAAACTCGTTTAGCTGTTGTCCCAACTGAATACGAACAACTGAACAAATACCATTTAGCCCTGCAGTAAACACAAGAATTATACAGCGCTGACGTAGTAATATGCCTTATGATACATCACAAGTGTACCATGAAGCGTTGTTGTGAGGTAAATGAAACCATCCTGAATTACGTTACATTTATATTAAAGTCTCACTACTTATATTCCAATACCAAATAAATAGTCTAACTACTTTCTCTTTATACTGTCACTTTTACTGGCAATAAACAATAAACTTGGACTACTAAAGAACATTTTAAGTCTTTAGGTAACGCCTACGTTTTTGTTGACATTTTAAAGTTCATACAGTATAAAAATAAACTGAAAGACGAGCTGGCGAAACCAAAAGTCAAACAAATCTTGAACAAATCTTGTGCTTGTTTGGGGAGAATGATGTATACGCAAACGTCGAGGTCAGCTTAATTTTAGGCCAACATTCATTTTTACAATACCTTTGGAAATCTGTCTGTTCTGCCCAAAGAAGCGGATGAGTATTTCTCTCACCAAAACGAATAGCTGAGGGTATGCAGTACGGCTTTAAACGATAATAAGATATGGCGTTTCAGTCAAATTCACCGTTTGTATTTTATAACACTGCAAGTGTAAGAACTGGGATATACCGGCAATAAATTTATATGACTGGGCATGTCCAGTGCTGCAGTGATAATGAATAAATAAATGCACTCTGTGGCTTTGTGGTATGCAACAATCCAGGCGTGAAAGATGACAGATGTGCCCTTTCTCCTAGTGTATGTAACTGTATGCTTATCTCTCTACAGTCCTTCCTTCTTTGCTCTCGTAGGAATCAACCACTCTACAAGGTTGGCCAAACATCCAGTCCATTCCCTGTTTTCCTGTGAGCTGCAGATTTGTGAAAAATGTGCTACAGTCATCGGTATGCTGCTATAGCAACTTTGTAGAGGTAACAGGCGCCTCCAGGTGACTGTTGCTGTGAATTGGATGCTATGTAAGTAAAACTGAATCTAAAATTGAATTGAATAACGGGTTTTCAAACCTGATAATGAGGTAAGTGATGTCATATTTTCTCATGGCTTTGCGTTTCTTTAATTGCTTCTTTATAATCTTTCATGGACCCTAGATTTATATATATAATTTTTTCCCCTGGGTTGGGTGGGGGTTCAGTTACAATTTTGGCTCCGACTTGCCCTTAGTGTCATTTTGCACTTTTTTAGTCTTACTGACCAGTTAAAGTACTTTAAACTACAAATCACTTTCATCTTATTAGTGATTTAGGGGAAAAAAAGTCACTAAGCCTTGAACCCCATACTACAGTAAGTGTTAGAAATGTAGGTGTCATAATAAGCTGATAATTACATCTTTTTTTGTTTTGTTTATAACAATAATAAGATAATAAGATGTGATTGAAGTGCAGACTTTTACTGTTATGGCATGTGTCAGCTCGACAGGTCACTAGTGTTTATTTATGATGTGACTGATAATAGAAGAAGCAGGGTGTATAGTAAAGTGTACAGTGCTATACTTTCTGCTCAGATCCAGCCAAATGTTGCAAAACTGATTGGACAGTGCTTCAGAGTGCAAACAGTAACAGCAATGGGCTTTTAAAAAAACAGAAAATTATGTTAGTTTGTCTAATTTATTTTTAATCTCTGTAGTATGTAAACTATGTATACATCCTATATAGATTACCATGTATCAAAATGGTTGTATTTTCAAAAATATTTTTCATAAAATCCTTTGAAGTAAAGCAGAAAGTCTGCTCCACATCGTGATTGTTTGATAATATCTTCTGCTATTTTGTTACTTTCCTATTCTATGTTATACAAATAAGTTTTATGTTTTAATATTCTATGATTTAATACTATCTAATTCGTAAAAAAAACAAAAACAAAAAAAACAATACAAATATCTTGATGTGCAAGGTTTTAATAGAACAATATGTCATGCTACTGATTATATAATTTATTTCCCTGATCAACACTCCAATGCTTTATTGTTTGGTTGTAATCAACAGAGTCCCAAGATATCCTTAAGTGTTCAGTGAAACTTACATCATAGTGAGTTCTGACTAGCTCCAAATAGGTTTGTGTGTGTTCAGTTTCAAACATGTTCCCCAAAAATCAGACATTAAGTTGTAATATCAAGGTAATTTTCAAAAAGAAAGAACCCCACTTGCAGTAAATGACATACTTAAGCACCTTCATGTCAAACATATCCTTTAACAACAAACTAGCAAGCTGTTTATTTGTCAAGTTAGACACCAAAAGCATCAGAATACTTTATTAATCTCATCTGAAATTATGTACAGTTAAAAAATATGAAAGCATGTAAAGTTTTATTTTTTTAACTGTATTAAAATACGTAATCAGTTGTTATAAACCGCTGCATAATATCAGTAAAGAAAGAATACATAAGGTGTAGTAGTAAGTTTGCTAAGTTAATTGTTCACTAATTTCTTGGAAGAGTCAATTTTAAAGGATGATTTGTTCCTCGGTGAACGGTCCCTTTAAGTGGCTTGACTAAAAACTCCAACCCCCACAATGCACCGGTCCGTTCTTCAACAAAAACGCGGAAACAATAGAGGCAATCAGTTTGTCAAAACAGATAACACCGAGTCGGCAGAAAGTGAGCGTAGTTGGTGCTGACAGCTGTCAAAGTCAATATCTATCGTCTGTCAAACGATCTAAAAGACTAGCCATGGCTCTGAAGAGAATACAGAAGGTAAAGAAAATAATCGTTTTTTTACATAATTTGTTTGATGTACGGTGTACAGGTCGGAGCGATGCGGAAACATAGCTTTAACGGTAGCGAGTCAGTTGTCTTACAGCATATTTGCTAGCGTTATCAGTGTTTTATAATGTTTTTAAATTCGCAATGAACAATTGTCAGTATTTCTTTTTTACCGTCTGCAAGTCATTTGAGCCAATACAGGTACAGAAATGGAATAACAATCCTTCTGTTTTTTTCAGCCAGGCTTTTCTTTTGTGATATTTAAGTTATGCTATTGTTGGGTGTATGCCTGTCGCCGTGTTGAAGAGACTGATAAACCTCTTTAGGATCAAGTATTTGAGAAAGGGCCGGGGCTTTATCGTGTGACATGTTGTGCATTTTTGCAGGTTTATTAGCCTAAATCCAAACCCGCTGCCGGTTGTAGTCGTGGATTTGTTAGATTTAGAGGGTAGTTTGCCCACATTAATATACAGTCTAACAAAATGTAACGCTTGTGTTGCTTCTTAATCAGTGCACACGCTGACAAACTCTAAAACTGTTGATTTTTTTCAGGAGTTAAATGACCTACAGAGGGACCCTCCAGCTTCATGTTCTGCTGGACCTGTTGGGGAAGACAGTAAGTGTGACTTTTGGTTAATTTTGCTACTTTTTAGTCATGTCTCAAAGTTTAGTTGTGTCTTTTGGGACTGTGTTGTATGCTCACATGCTGTTTCTTTATCGTTGTTTTCTTTAGTGTTTCACTGGCAAGCTACCATCACAGGACCGGTGAGCTTTTTCTGGATATGATTCCTGGACATTTTCTTTTTAAACCAAGCTGCTTCTGGATCTCTAGACAATAGTGTTTTATGTGGAGTTTACAGCCCTTTCTGTTCTTTATGGCCAGCACAGACTGGCACACTCTATCCTGATGCTATTCACTGAAGGCCAGGTCATTATTGAGGCCATATATTGTATCTCTCATGCAACACATTATCGATACACTGATGGCAAGTGTCGAAATTCTTTTGAAACATGTAGTCACTTTAAAGTGCATCCTCATGTGAGTTTGAGTCGATAGAGTCACTATTTCATAGTTGTTGTTGTTTTAAATGGAGAGACTTTTTAAAATACCAAGGGTGAAGGAAGCAAAAGTTGAATAGCTTCTTGTGACAAAACTCTCTGGGGGCATAAATCAGTAAACAGGGATAGAAAATTGAAGGCTTTCCAGTTTTATCAATCCATTCTCTTCCAATTATCCTTATCAGGATCACATGGGAATGGAGCCTATCCCCGCTATCATAGGACGAGAGGCAGGGGAACCCCCTGACACTAGTCTGCTCCAACTAGTTTTGCCGATATATACACAATGCCTGCTTTTTGCTCTTATAATTGTTTGATCATCAAGGATCATGACATTACTGTGATATTGTGGTAAGATATAGTGATAGTATCACCGGTGACTATATCCCTGTAATTAAGAAAGAAGTGTTGGGTATGACTTTAAACCAGTTTTCTACTTTATTTCAGAATGATAGCCCATATCATGGAGGAGTTTTCTTCCTTTCTGTGCATTTCCCCACTGACTATCCCTTTAAACCACCAAAGGTAAGTGTATTTGTTCTTGAGACTAATTGTCTCAGAAGTACTACACTATACTATACCGATAACACTATTTTTGTCACTGTATAGAGTAAATGATTAATGAATATTGTATATTGTTATTAGATCCAGTTGTATTCAGAAAATGAATGGTATCTTTTAAATAAAAATACTGTTATTACAGTATTTGTTTTTTAAATTATAGCTAATTTTGCACATTTGTGCTTTGCTTTTATTTACAGGTTGCCTTTACTACGAAAATCTATCACCCAAACATAAACAGCAATGGTAGCATTTGCCTTGACATCTTGAGGTCACAGTGGTCACCTGCACTTACAGTATCAAAAGGTAACCAAATCCATGTCCACATTCATTTTATGGACATGGATTTATGATTCGTTGTATTTGATACATTTACTTGTACTCTGGTTTTTAAGGACCCCTAAAACTGAGAGATTTGGATTAACTGTTCATCCTGTTTTGTGTTTTAGCATGGACAAGCAGTTTTAGTTTAGAAATTCATGTGCACTCAGGATATCTGCTCTTGCTCTTATAACTGGATTCCAGCATTATTATCTTCACTTGTGCTTATATTACACCCAGTAGCTGGAGTCTGCACGTTACTTAACAGCATCTCAGCGCATACATCGGATTCAGTGAAAAGGGGTATACGCCTACCTTTACCATATGACTAATACAAATTCAGCAAGGCAATTCCTGATGCCAAGCAACAATGCCATGTTTAAATTATTTAAAGATGGTCTACCTGTTTGATACGAGCAATGACAGTATAAGTCTTAATCATTCTGACACTTACATGCTTTTTTTAAGAGAGATGTCCTCCTGTATGCCAAGGTTTTCTTGGCCGTTTAAAACACATGCTCCTCCCGAGCCACTCATCACTACCTGTGACCTTGTGCTCCAGCTGAAGTAAGGACAGCAGCTACTTACTACCTGTCCTGCCCTAATTCGTCATCCTCCTTCGCATGAAAAAAAAATGGTGTAAAAGATGGCTGTAGTTTCCAGTTCTAAAAACTGAACAACTCCATAGCGCCTTAAACTTGCATTTAAGGCACTTTTAATCCACAAAAAAACAGCCCTCAGTTCCCATGCTTTGCTATACAATACTTTGCAGTTTTCAGGTTATACTATATAAATAAAACATAAGTTGTTTTTTTTAATTTTGGTAAATATAAAGATTTATAAAGGAGGATAAACCAGGGTTTTCTCATTGGCATGTAGTTAGTCAGATCCACCTTTCTGCAACAACAAAAACATTCATCTTGTAGCTTCACAAAGGAACTTGATTAACCTGTCGATGACTTCATGGCGATCCCGACTCTTATGCAGTCTAGAGAAGGAAACAAAGACGTCTATTGATTACTAGTAGTTAGCATGGATAACTAATCATAGTCAAATCAAATCACTTTTTATTGTCACATCACATGTGCAGGTACATTGGTACAGCACATGTGAGTGAAATTCTTGTGTGCGAGCTTCACAAGCAACAGAGTTGTGCAAAATACAATAATGTAAACAAGCAAAATACAAGAATGGCTACATCTGAAACTAATAAATATATGTACAATATATAATAGTATATGCATTTCTGGATGTGTATACTAAATATTTTTCTGTGTGTGTGTGTGTGTGTGTGTGTGTGTGTGTGTGTGTGTGTACACATATTTTACAAATTAAATAGAGTAAACAATGAATAGAATATATAAAATAAATAAAATAAAATATACAGAGTGAGACATGTGCAAAACAGTGGCATTACTGTACAGTGTGGAGTGCATAATGTTAAAGTTCCAGTAGTGAAGCTGAGGTGTCTATGACGTGTTCAGCAGTCTGATGGCCTGATGGAAAAAGCTGTCTCTCAGTCTGCTGGTACGGGACCGGATGCTGCAGAACCTCCTTCCTGATGGAAGCAGTCTGAACAGTTTATGGCTGGGGTGACTGGAGTCCTTGATGATCCTCCCCGCTTTCCTCAGGCACCGCTTCCTGTAGATGTCTTGGAGGGAGGGAAGCTCACCTCCAATTATCCGTTCAGAGCACCGAACTACTCGCTGGAGAGCTTTGCAGTTGTAGGCGGTGCTGTTGCCATACCAGGTGGTGATGCATCCAGTGAGGATGCTCTCAATGGCACAGTGATAGAAGGTCCTGAGGATGTGGGGGCTCATGCCGAATCTTTTCAGTCTCCTGAGAAAGAAGAGGCGCTGCTGCGCCTTCTTCACTGTTTTGTTTGTGTGTACTGACCACGTAAGATCCTCAGCCAGATGTACACCAAGGAACCGGAAGCTGCTCACTCTCTCCACAGCAGCGCTGTTGATGGTGATGGGGGTGTGTACTTCTCTGCACCTCCGGAAGTCCACTATCAACTCCTTTGTCTTTGCGACGTTGAGGGTGAGATGGTTGTCTTGACACCAGTGGGTCAGGGCGCTGACCTCCTCCCTGTAAGCTGTCTCATCACTGTTGGTGATAAGATCCACCACTGTAGTGTCGTCCGCAAACTTCACAATGATGTTGGAGTTGTTAGTGGCCGTGCAGTCGTAGGTGTAGAGTGAGTACAGGAGAGGGCTCAGTACACACCCCTGTGGAGCACCAGTGTTCAGTGTGATGGGGGATGAGGTGATGCTGCCCAGTCTGACCACTTGGCGTCTGTCAGACAGGAAGCTAAGGATCCAGCTGCAGAGGGAGCTGCTCAGTCCTAGATCCTGCAGTTTCCTGTCCAGCTTCGAGGGAACGATGGTATTGAATGCTGAGCTGTAATCTACAAACAGCATCCTCACATACGTGTCTCTCTTCTCCAGGTGTGACAGGGCAGTGTGTAGTGTCAGGGCTATGGCATCATCAGTGGACCTGTTGTGGCGGTATGCGAAATGTAGAGGGTCCAGTGAGTCGGGTAGTGAAGAGCAGATGAAGTCCCTGACCAGCTTCTCGAAGCATTTGCTTACGATGGGGGTCAGGGCTACAGGTCGCCAGTCGTTCAATGAGGAGATGGTGGAGGATTTGGGTACAGGGACGATGGTGGCCGTCAGTACTGACCCTGTTGTCTATGCTAGTAAATGTTGTGCAATTAAATATAGGATTTTTTTTCATGCCACTGCTGTCTCCATACAGATGTGCCTTATCAGATATAAACAATGGTAACGAGTTTGCAGCAGTGTTATTTGAAAATGTAAATGTATCAGTGTGGATGGATAAATTACAGCAGTGCCATGTCAGATCTGTATCTGTTTTGCATCCGTTTTATTTTGAAATCACAGGAAATGAAACTTTTTAAATAAATCAATATAATTAACAGTTAATTGAAATGCTGGGTAAAACATAACATGAGGTGGGAATTTCAAAGATGAGCATAATGCATTATAATGCACACAGTTTGCATTGAAGCAATCCGCTGTCTTGTCACGAAGTCTGGAGTCTTCCAAGTGAATGATTTCTAGCCCTTAGGAAAATGGGTAATAGGATTTTTTTAGGGTTGATTATCCAGAAATGTGACCTCTGCACTCTGTGCACTTCTGTCAGAAAAATATCAAATGCATGTTTTATGTTTAAATACACTTACTAAAGACCTACACTAACAGGATTTTGATGTCAGTGTACATCAAATCAAAGCTCATTTATTTGTATTTCAAATTTAGAGTTATTCTTGTGTATATGAGGAGCTTGAAAAAATAAAAATAAACTTTCTTAAAGTGACCATGGTGATTTAATTAAATTAAATTAATCCATTTATTTTCTTATGTGTCTTTGTTTCAACAGTTTTATTATCCATATGCTCACTGCTTTGTGACCCAAATCCAGATGATCCCCTAGTCCCTGACATCGCGCATATTTATAAATCAGACAGACAAAAGTAAGTACAAAGCCGATTGTTAAGAAAACACAATTACACAAGTGCACAGTTCTCTTAACATGATTTTCTTTCTCTTTAGGTACAACAAAATTGCCAGGGAATGGACCCAAAGGTATGCAATGTGAAGGACTGATGTTCCAGCTGCAAAGACGCATCCCTCAACACCTCAGAATATGACTGTTTAATTGCTTTATCCTCACTGGTTCTAATTGAGGTGTTTGACATGCTTGAAGCACTTTCTCTACCCAGACCTTACTTGACTTAACTGCTTTTAGTGTTTATTTTATTTTATTCTCTTAAATTGGCATTATTATTATTATTATTATTATTATTATTATTATTATTATTATTAGATATGAGATGGAAGTTTGGGGAGGTTCTTTTACATTTTTGCTGTATGGAATGATACTGAATTTATTTTTCATGATTTTTTTGCATTAAAATATTATGCAAAAAGTGAATTTATAATTGTTTCTCAGGAGTACTCACAACTAAACTGAAAATGGTTCAGTGATAACTCTTCATTTCTACAACCAAGTCTTGGTGTCATAAACCTGACCACTAGGTGGCAGTCTTTACTTTTTACTTGCCAAACATTTCTGGTGGATAATTTAATATTCGTGTTTGTGTTACATTTAATTCAGGCCCATTTGCTAAATGGTTAATTGTGTGGATAGTGGCTATTATGGAGTGTTGCTCTGGCTATGAACTGAAAATGAGGCCTGTTCTGTCAATTGAAATCAGACCACCCATTACCATCACCTCTGCTCCTTCCTTTGTGCTGATGAAGCTCGTGTCTCCATATAAGTGGAGCACTTCCTGTTTAAAATCGAACTCAAGCATGTTTGCCCAGCTGTTATTACACTATTTTATAACCACTGCTTTCACAAAATGGCTTCAATTTGCAAACCACTTAGAAGTTTTATCATAAAGTGTGAGCCTCTCTGTCAATGATTTAAATCTTGCTGCATTTTAAAATAAAGCAATTTTTGCCAATGGATCAAGAGAGAAAAGCACAGTTTGTGCATATGTCAGTAACTATAATGATATAAATGGCTTTCTTTGTGCATTTTTACTTTATTTACCATAAACATATTCTGCATGGATGATGTAGTCTGGTTTTAGTCTGCAGTAAATACAACATTCCTCCAATGAAAAATAATTCAGACTTTGTTTTCTCATTTTGTATTGTTCTGGATGTTAAAGGTTGTTTTTAAGAAAACCTAATAGTTGCACAGTAAGCTGATAAAACATCAAAGCAATATTTGATGTGACTTTTTCAGACTATTGGATTTACTAATAGTCTAAAGAAGACTACTCGTACTGTTGTCTCACACTAACAACGTCCTGTGCTTGAATCCAGTGAAACTGGCTGTAGGTGTGAATGGTTGTCTGTCTCTGTGTTAGAGAGGCTCCAGCCCCCCACCCACCTTCAACCCTCCACAACCCTGAACTGGATTGTCTTGGTCTTAATAACTCTTACAGCCTGCCAAGAAACAAGCATCCTAGTGTTTTTTTTCCTGACCATTTAAATAAGCATGTAGGACATTCAGGTGGTTGTTTTACCCTTGACAGAATTTTTTGAAAGTTTAGCTCAAGGGAACAGATGTCAAAGCTCATCTGCATTTTTAGAAATGCAGTTAAAACTTCTCTCATAAGACTAAAATTAAATTGTCAGGTACTTAATAATTACCACTTTTAATCCCAGATCTCAGGAAGAAGTTGGAAAACGAATTAGGCCAAGAACCGTGGTCCTGCGGCTACATGGTTAGTTTGCAGTGTGATAAAAGCTCCATCTGCCACATTAGGGTTGTTAACATGGAGGTTTGTTATGTCTGAATTGGCTGGCAAGCACAGCGTTAAGTGGCACCTTACATTTAAATCAAAATAAAGATTAGCAATGCTGTTCCTGTTGTAGAGGACAAACCTCTGAGATCAGTGAATATGAATAACTCTGGATGTCCATAGCTGGCATTACTGAGTGACCTCTACACTCCCTTTTGTTTTGTTTTCTCTTTCCTGTATTACTTCCCTTTCCCACTCTAGTGTTTCCTCTATAAACCAATAGATAGTTTGCCTAGGGCTGTTTGGAGGGGGAAAAGTCACAGCAAAATTGGTTTATACACACGTCAAAGCTGTCTTTGTGTCTAATTATTTATAGAGACTTGATTGTCACGTCTGCTGGTAATTTAGTATAATTTTGGACTCATAATAACTATGATTTCCGTGGCTATAAATGGCAATATAATCCCTCAACAGTTTCCCATAAATGAGACATACAAGTTGTGCCCTTACGAGCATAAACACAAATCAAAACCAAAAACTCTCACATATTCAAGTTTGGGGAACTTCTCAGGAACCCAGGGGGAGGTATAGATCCTCGAGAAAAGTTTCTGGGAGGAGTCCCGCTTTTTTTGCTGGATGACACGTGAAACTTTCCTGAGGAGTTGCTTGGTATGTTTGGTGCGTGTACTGTAGCCGTCCGTTAACTCGCCAGACAACCTATAGCGAGTGGTTCCGTGTGCGCCTGCCTATTTTTAGAAGCCTGCCTAATGGGGGGAAACGAAGGAGCTTAAAGAAAACTGCAGAGGAAGGTCACAACTGCGTTGAGATGAGCTTCCACAACGACTCGAAGTGACGGAATAAAAAGTAGCAGAAGTAACGGCGCTTTCCTGCTACTCGACCTAACTTTGAGTTAAACGCAGTGGCCGCTGGAGAAGTTTCCGTGCAGCACAATGGCTGCCCAGTGCGACGCTTTAAGCGGATACTTGCAGCAGTCGGACCAGGGCTCCAACAGCGAGCGCAGCGCAGACTCTCCTCTGCCGGGCTCAGAGGAAGATCTCAGCGGCCCTCACTCGCTGCCAGACCCGGAGTGGACTGAGGAGAGGTTTCGGGTGGACCGTAAAAAGCTGGAAGTCATGTTATTAGGTAATAAAATTAGCCATGTGCAAAGTTAGATAGTTTAAACATTTAAACGAACAATGCCTTGCATCCCGAAGCAGCTTTCGCCCGGCCCTTTGTTTATTTTAGACTCATATAATCAAACTTTTTCGAAGTTGTTTAAATTTCAGGCCTCTTATTCGGGGAATTTGAGCGTGTCATTTGCTTAATCCGAGAAAAATCAATTAAGTCAAATGGGCCGCGCCAATTAGCTATTGACTTCCAATTAATGGCGTGGACATAAGAAAACAGCGTAATAGCTAACCACTCAGAAGCTGTGGGCAGCCCTGGAAAAATGGACGTCCACATTTCTTAATTTTTGCACCTTAACAAACAGAAGGTCGAAGAAGTCGGTTAACCATCATTGGAGGTATTTTTTTTGGGTAGTTGCGTGCTCCAGCCACAGGCTGTCGCTGCAGCAACTACTGCAGTCTGCATTTGTTTGTAGAGTAAACTGAGTGTCTGGCTCTTTGCAAAATAGTCTGCATGATGCAAAACCTTTGCTTGACTTTTAGAAAATAATAAACTGGAAGTTGATTAGTTACCATAAGCCGTTAAACAAATCCAGTAGCAACAGCTGTAATTGCATCACACTGTGTGATCCATTCTGTCTTCAATACAACAGAATCCTGATGAAAAGTTAAAAGTGGGATCTCTCCTAATGACGTGCAAGTGACAATGAACACTTAAACAAGCGATGACAGGCTTGTAAAGAGAGGCCCAGTCAGACTCAGTTAAGAGTTAAGAGGTCCCTGGAAACTCAAAAGGTTGATGTAATTTATCACAGATTTCAAAACGCTGGAGTGTGGAATATTAGAGCATTACATAAGTGGGCTGGATTCTTTATCATTTCCACAGGAAGGCAGTGACTTGGATCTGATGAGCAGCCAAACAAGACTTTAGGAGGAATATTATCAGTCATAATCATGTTGAAACGCTGTCAAGGACACTATATCGTGTGTGTTGACAGCAGTAATGACTATTGCTTAATATTTTTTTAAGACTTTAACTTGGGGAATGCGGTTCATCGGTTTAGTCTGAGCTGTCCTAACTGGAACTAGGCTCTGAAAAGAGGCAGGTTTTGAAGTCCATCCCTTTATACTAAAAACACAGACATACACATGCACACACGTAGTTCCCTCTTGAGAAAGTCCTTGCTGCTGCCTAACTGCTCTGTACATTCCTCAGTGCTCCATGTCATCCCCAACTCTTCCAGGAAAACAACTTTGCTAGAGGCTGGCCCTAAATCCGAGTGGTCCGGACACACCGCACGCCACGTCATGCAGTGTGTCTGCGTGTGTGTATGCCATATGTAATCTGTACAGTTTGTCAGATTTTTATCTTTGCCAACCTCTTGTTTCCCAGTTGCTCTTTTATGACATCATGGCTGACGCTGCACATGTTGACATTGCAGCTAGGATGCAGAGTAGGAAAGGCTGTTGGGATCCACTCTTGATCTTTATAGTCAGCTGTAGGTGCAGGTTTAAATACCACAGTGCTTTAACAGTTATTTTCACTGGTTTTGATCTGAAGCCGAGATCTGAGGTCTCCTCATAGCTACCTTGGTTATCTTGCAGTAAACATTTTGCAATCCAAGCGTGTGCAGAACATTGCAGACGATTCATTAGGATAGAAAAAGTTCAAAAGTTTGTTTAAGCCTACATGATCATATATTCTCCTTTTTTAAAAATTATTATTATTTATTTATTTGCTCAGTAGGTGTAAATTCACATCCCCTTTGTCGTCATCCCGTTTGGTCAGAGCATTCTAACATCTGGCTGTGTTTTGATTGGATAGACTGTAGATTTTGATGTGGTACATCATGTTCTGTAGGCCAGAGTTTTGGAGCATAGTGAAATCATTTTATGGGAGCTCCAGTGTATTTTTACCCAGTGTTTTATTGTCTGTGAGGTATCTCTGGCTTCTCTTTCTTGGAAAATTAAGTGTTTTTGACCCCAGAGAAAGAGCTGTGGGTCAAACCATGCAATAACCTATTCTTTTTTCTTTTTTTCTTTTTTTTCTTTTTTGCCAGATTCAGGTAATGTTCCTGCACTGTTTGCATTTTTGCTTTGTTAAAATACAGATTATATGTAAGCAGCTGGCATACATTTTATTTTATTTCATTTCTTTAAAGACATGGAAAACTTTTACAGTACTGCTTGGAAACTGCATTCACAACTAATCTTCAGGGAAACTGATGGGAGGATTTGAGGCAGATGAGAGATGACCACTTGCCTGCGTACCATGTGGTTAAATATTCATCATGTTTAATTCAAAGATTCCAGTCTGAAACAGCAATGAATAATATATATAGTAAGCTTTCATACGGTACATTTAATCTATTGTTTCAACTCCAAGCATTTTATTCACCGGTATGGGATATGACCCTCTGTAGCTTTATATTACAAGTGCATTTGCTTTTATTGGCTTCCAAATGATTTCTCAGTATGAAACCTAGCTTTATTTAGAACATACAGGTAAGGGGTCAGAGAAGGACATCAACCTACTGAGAGCCCTTTAGTCAGGGGTTGCATAAATTCTGGTGAATAAAAGTGACCCAGTAGCCCTCTGTGCCCATTAAAAGATGTTGGTGAGTCACCAGCACGTCTCCACGACTTTGCACTGAAACAGAATCCCATGATACACACTTAACCTGCTGTTCAAATCAGCCGCATTTTACTATCCCCCTGTTCTGGCACAGTTTGCTTCAGGAGAAAATGGAAATTATTAACGGCTTTTCAATTACAAATTTACTGTCTCTCGCATTGGCAGGGACACAGGTTCCTGGGCTTAGATCAGTAAATAGAGTGTAAAGTGACAACAAAATCTCACCCTAACAGCTATCTGGATTTACTGTTGTACTCTTGGCACCCACAAATAGAACTCCCAAGTTAATGGCTTGGAGACATTAACAGAGGGATGGTCTTGTGTGGGCAGGGAACAGTGTAAGAGAACTTTTGTGCCTATTACATCGCTATTCAAACTCACGAAACTAAGAAACTGGGGGCAAGTGTGGGAAAGAGGTAACATTTGTTTCCAACTCCAATTATCAAAATTGAA